TATAGTTTCTAATATTTTCTACTGTGTTTTTTGTTTATTTTGAAAATTCTTCTGTCAACTTGGATCAATTGTTTCTACTCTTAATGTAATTTATGGGCTCAAAAATTTTTAAAAAAGTATCTAATAGACCATGGAATTGACAAAGGTATGTCTAATACTCATGAATATAAAAACAAAAAACAAAACTTACCATATCCTTTAGGAGACTTAGAAAGGCCCATTATGGCCCTTTTTACAGGTATTCTTAACATGATGGCTGAAAAATAAAACAAAGATGAATTATCATACAGGGAAGAGAGCCACCAAACATCTGTATTGTTTTGTAGTTTCATATATATTATTCTAAGACAATCTTCAGACGTTCCAATGTTTTCGCAAGTTGTACATACAACATTCAGTCTCAGAGACATTAATTAGCTTATACAATGTCACATAGCTAAGAAGCAGTGTACAGTAGATAAGTGCTTTAAAACTAAGCTACATCTCCAGTGTAAATTTGGGCTTTGTGATGCAAAGGGCAGTTTTGTTATAACCAGAAGGAAGTGGTAAGGGCTTGGAATACAGCTCAATACACAAGTGTGCTTGCCTAGCATTCAGGAAGTCCTAAATTCTAACCCCAGCACAGCATAAACTGGATTACATGCCTGTAATCCTAGAACCTGGGAGGCAGGAGGATCTGAAGTTTAAGGTCCTCTTCTGCTATATAGCAAGTTTGAAGACAGGCAGAGAAATAGGAAAACACTGTCTCAAAAGAAAACAGGTAAGAATAAAGTAAAATAAACTGCAAAAATAACTCTATCATTAACAGCTATTTAAAATCAATAAAATACCTTTCTGCCCTTATCTCCTCCTAGTATGTTGGGGTTTTTGTTTTGTTGAGACAGGGTCTTGCTATTAACCTTGGCTAGTCTTGAAGCAATCCTCCTGCCTCTGCTTCCTGGGTGCTACCACAATTGGCTCCAGTATGCACTCTCCCATGATATATGAATTATATATGATCCCAACATATTCTGAGGCAGCTCAGAAGTCAAAAGTCTTTGATGAATCTTAAGGCCCATCATTTTGCACTGAGTAGTATGTTTATCTCACAGACCTGCAATTTGCTTGTATTATGCTTCTATCCTATCAGGAACTCGTGGAATCTTCCCACTTCAGTACCAATTCCCAAAAGCTCCTAAAAATAAGCTTTACAACAATGGTCCTCCATTGGATTTGATGTTACAGGACTGTAATCTCAGTTACCTGGGACACCAAGATAGCAGGATCACATTTCCATGTCTGGATAACCTGGTGAGAAAGATCCTGTCTCAAAAAATGGAAAGGTGACCGGAGAGGTCCAGCAATTTAAGCACTCGCTGCTCTTACAGAGGACCTGGGTTCAACTCCCAGTACCCACATGGTGGTTCACAGTCATCTATAACTGCAGACTGTAGTTACTCATGTCTTCCTCTGATCTCTGCATAAACCAGCATCCAAACAGCACAAATGCATACATGAAGGCAAAACATCTTTTTTTTTTTTTTTGAGGCAGCGTTTCTCTATTTAGCCTTGACTATCTTTGAACTAGCTCTGTAGACCAGTTTGGCCTTAAACTCAGATCCACCTGCCTTTGCCTCCTGAGTGCTGGTTTTACAGGTGTGTGCTACCACTTCTAGCTGTGGAAGCATTTAGCTTGTGTCAAGTTGACATGAAACTATGCAGCACAGCCTCTAAAATCATAATTTTTCTTTTGGAATTTTTAAGTTTTGTTTAGTCAGTTGGTTTTTGTTTAGTTTTGGTGACAAGGTCTCATGTAGCTCAAGCTGGCCTTAAACTCCTGATCCTTCTGCCTTTATCTCCAAACTGCTGGTATTACAGGGATGTACAAGATGACTAGTTTGTTGTGTGTTTGTTTTTACCTTTTAAAGTAAAAAAAAAGTGATTAGAAAGTGTCAACATTTTAAAAAAGTACAAAAGTTTAAATAGCAGTAGCAGTACTAACTGAAAATAGTAAACATACAGAATTTTTTCTTCTTTTTAATTAAAAAAATAAGTGAAGTGTACTGTATTTAGTCTGTATCTATGTCTGTTCACCATGTGCATGCTTGATACCCAGGGAGGCCAAGAGAGGGTATCAGATACCTGGAACTGGAGTTATAAACAGCTGCTGAGTTGTCATATAATTTTTTGGGACTCAAACCTGGATTCTCTAGAAGAACAGTCAGGAATCTTAACCACTGAACCACTTCTCCAATCCCAAAGGTACCTCTTCAACATACCCTACTGGCATGCGTTACCACATGTGGCTTTTGGTTATATAGAAACCAGGCTGGCTTGAATCCCACAGAGAGAGATCCATCCACAGGCCTCTGCCTCTCAAGTGCCAGGATTAAAGGTACTACCATTCCAGATAAAATAGAATCCTAAGCACTAAAGTCTATAGCTATCACAGATAACCTATAATTAAATTTTTCATTAATTCATAACTCATTTCATTTAATTCATTAATAACAATAATTACAATTTTCAATACTGAATTTGCAAACATCAAGTCTGTAGTCTACAAGCAAATTCTGATAAATTAGTTATTGGTTCTTTATCTATAAAGCAGATCTACAATACTTCCCAGGGTGTTACTACAAGGCCAATAATTGCCAATAATAAAAACAAAGAAAGAAATTGCAATAAAAACTGACTTCAACTTAATCAGTAATGGCCACTAACAATCAATTGTAAAGTGCTCTTCGTCTGTGGTCCTTTTCTTTATTAGCATCACACACCATACATATTTTTTACTATTCTACTTACTAAACTTGAGCTAAGCATGTAGCTTTAGTAGAGGACCACTTCCTACACTGGGCTATATCCCAAACACAAATAACAAACAAGGCCCCAACACTAAGTTACAGGTGAATTTTGGTACTTACTAGACTTTTAAGTTCCTTGACAAGAAACCTATTTCCTTTTTCTAAAGACTAGCACAGTACCCTTAGAAAAACAAGTCACCAAATTCCAGACGAGCAGTACATACTCCCTTAGCAAAAAGTACTGATGAGGCCCAGCATGGTGGCTCATGCCCATAAACCCAACATTGGGGAACTTGAAGCATGAGAATCATGCATTTGAGGCCAGCCTGAGCTACATAATGATATAAAACCCACATAGACAGTTTGAACATAACCTGGCTTATACAGCATACAGTTTGTTGTGGGTTTTTGTTTGTGTGTTTGTTTTTGTTTTTCTCCCCTTTGGTGGTATTTGATTTTTGAGATAGATCTCATGTACCTCAGACTGACCTCAAATTTGCTATGAAGACAAGGATCAACTTGGGACGCCTAAATTCCAGAGCTCCACTTCCCAAAAAGTACCACGACGTCCAGATTGGTATATGTTAGTTGTCGTTGATTTTACATCCATTTATTAACTCTGTGCGTGCTAGCATACATGATCTTCAGTGGGGCTCGTGCATATGGAAGCCAAAGAACAACGTTTGGGAGTCATTCCTTCCCTTCCATCATGTGGGTCCTAGGAATCGAACTCAGGTTATCAGGCATGGCTGCAAGCATCATTACCATCTAAGCTAACTCACCAGCTGTGAAATGTGTTTCAAACAAGAACAAAAATAACTATTCAAGCTGGGGATGTAGTTCAGTTCGTAGAGTCCTTACCTAGCATAAAGTCCTCTGTCTTAGCCTTCCCAGTGCTGGGATTATAGAAAGCACCCGGCACATCTCTACTATCTAGGCTGTGACTTAAGAGAAACAACTTTCTAAAAGTTGCTGATGCTCTGGCTTGAACACTCCATTTAATAATGCAAAACTCAGTGGAAAAAAAAAAAAAGAAGAAGAAAAGAAAAATTTCCAGGAAAAAAGAAACCTAACGTTTACAATTCAGTTTGATCTTACAATCCTTGAATCTCAAGACCCTGAAGACACCGCAGCTTCCTGACTTACAGCTGGGCTCCGAACTAACTTTTTAAGATTCATTTTCTTCTTCAAATGTACGTGTGCACGTTCATGTCTGTGGGGGGGGGGGTCATGCCAGGTGCTCACAGTCTAGAAGAGGGTGGCGAGTCCTCTGAGAACAGTGACAGGCTGTTGTGAATCTCCTGAACTGGACATTGAGCACCGAATTCGGATCCTCTCTGCAAGGTACTTGTAACCGCTTAGCTAACCAGCCCAGGCTAACTTTTAAAAAGTTTTGGTGAGTTTTCCCGGCCAGTAGAATATATAAATTACTACCCAACATGACCAATGAACCAGACAAAACAAGCAGGAGTGTGTGGACCGCTGCAAGACTGCAAGTAAACATTGATGCCTAACGTTTAAGTCACTCGTGACACCGGGGAAAGAGCCGGTCTCCTGTCAAGGCCACCTCCTGCTTTCCCCTGCAGAGAGAAGGAAGCTCGCAAGCCCGAGTTCCCAAAAGTCTTCGGATCTTCCTCCCTTCTGCTCCATCAGACCAGAAACCAAGGCTACTAAGCCTCACCTGCCGGTTCTCCCGGGCTCCCCAGGTGTGGGCGGGAGGCGGTACCCAGTCAAGGGCAAGAGGAGAATGACGGTCTTGTCCGACCTAAAGGGTACAATCCTGCCAAGAAATGAAACCCTGCCCGTAGCACTTCAGCCTTCCCACCTAAATTCGTCCTCACCTTTCCTCCGGAGCCCCCTAGGCTGCCCCGCGGACTCGTCCGGATCTCTCTGACCCCTCAGTACCGGGCCGCTAAGTCAATATGGCGGCCACGGCTAACTCCGTCACAGGAACTGGCTGACGGGAAGCCAGGAGGGACAAGTGTCCCACATTCGACAATTTGCCCTCTTTGGACCTCTTCGGCAATTTCCGTCAACCCGAGCGAGAGCCGGGAGGAAGCGGAGAAGACGACTTGGACCTGCAGTTCCGCCGGAAGTAGCCGAGGCCTAGAGGCCGAGCGCTTTCGCTTAGCTCCGACTCGTCAAGGGGCGTTTCCCTTAGTTTCGGAATTCTTGTAGGTAGGCATTTTACAATGCCTCTTTTATTAACTTCTTTCCGATCTCAAGGAAAAGGCCGCGGACGACCTGTGGGCATTTTAATTCACAAGTCCCGGGTTTACGTGGAGGAACGAGACTAGTAACGTACTTTGACCTTTAACCTCTAGCCGGTGCAGTGGAGGGAAACGCCTCCGTCTCTATATAAGGACTTTTCCGGCCGGCCCGGGCCCTTTTTCCCTTAGCGCCGGCCGCGGGCTTCGGGCGCTCTCTCCGTCCGCTACTGCCGGCCTCCGGGATCCAGCCGACGCCATGGGTTTCGGAGACTTGAAAACCCCCGCCGGCCTCCAGGTGCTCAACGATTACCTGGCGGACAAGAGCTACATCGAGGGGTGAGTCGGGAGGCCGGGGCCACGTGGCGCGGGCTCGGCGGGAGGGAAGCGGGGAAGCCGAGCTTGGGTCTCCCGGGGCCGGATGCCGCCGGAGCAGGACCTCCCGGGAGGGGCTGCAGGGGGAGTAATTGGAAATAGGCTCGTTCAACCGAGTTCTTCCGCGTCTTTGCCGAGTTAATACATTTAAACTTGTGGCTAGCCTGATTGGAAGATGGTAGCCTTTGATGTCTGTCCTACGTGGCAGATACTCTTGGCTTTTATAGATTCAGACAGATGTTCGGTGCACTTTACAATTATATGCAACTAAAGCAACTTGTTAGCCCTGTAATAGTTCCTTCTATATGACACAGGGCTTGTCATACACTAGCTGGTGTTTGTATCTTTTCTTTAAAAGGTGCTTGCACTTGTTTCCGTGGCAGGTACGTGCCATCACAAGCAGATGTGGCCGTATTTGAAGCCGTCTCTGGTCCTCCGCCTGCTGACCTGTGTCATGCCCTGCGCTGGTATAACCACATCAAGTCTTATGAGAAAGAGAAAGCCAGGTAAAAAGAAAAAAAAAAAAAATACCTTTGTGCCACCAGGATTTTCCCATGTCAAAGTAGGATCCAAGTTAAAGTAATTTAGCTTTGTTGGGATAGTGTAAAGCTTAATTTTTTTGTGACCTTAAAAGGCCAAGAGACTGAAGCCCTCCATTTTCTCACGGAACAGGTAGCACATGGACTACAGCAATTCAACTTTACCCCACACCAGTGTGCTTGGACCTGGGGGGGCCATCGCTGGGGTGAGAGAGAGGGTAGCTCATTCATTCAGTCCCTGGCCATTCTTCTGAAACTACCAGCAAGGGTGGAGAGTTTGGGGAAGTGGACTCCAGTTAACTAAGAATGGAAGTGAGCATAAAATGAGATCTCAAAACAGAGATGTTCATTCTGAAAGCGTTAAACCATAGTGAGTATTGAGTATGATGTCTCCTGTGGTACTAATGTTTGTTGGGTGAAGAGCTAGATACATAAAATTTCCCTGGGATTGTACTAAAGGATAAATAACCAGAATAGAAGAGATTGAGTGTTACTGGGAAAGAAAGGGTTTGTGTTTTGTCCAGAAAAGAATATGGCACCAACCTAATATTGGTAGAATGTTTGCTTTCAAGCCTGCCAGGAGTGAAGAAATCTCTGGGCAAGTACGGCCCTTCCAGTGTGGAAGACACCACGGGCAGTGCAGCTGCAGATGCTAAAGATGATGATGACATCGATCTCTTTGGCTCAGATGATGAGGAGGTATGGCTGACCTCATGTAAAGAGAGTACTGATAAGGCAGTATGTCTTCAAGCTTAAGCGTAGATGCTGTAGTGGCTGCCTGGATTTGAACCTGGCTTTGCTTTGTTTTCTGCCTATAAAAAGTTATCACTGGGTACATGATGAATAAAATCAAATCACCATCTTTCGGCTGAGCTCCTGATGGATTTGCTTTTTTCTGATAAATGTGGTCTCTCTTTTTTTTTAATTACACTGTCAGTGTGTTTAAGCAGAAGATAACCAACTTTGTGAAATTTTTGTTTCCTATACAGGAAAGCGAAGAAGCAAAGAGGCTCCGAGAAGAGCGCCTTGCACAGTACGAATCAAAGAAAGCTAAAAGTAGGTAATTTTACAGTTCATTGTTAAATGATAATGAGAGTGGCCTTTTCCAAAGCTTGACTCTAAAGTGATTTAATTTTCCAGTTTCATTGAATGGGCCAATGTCTTTAGAGTCTTCAATAAACATCTTTCCTTATAAAACTTCCACAGCTACTGGTCTGCAACTGTTTATATGATAGCAGTTGTAGCATTCCTCTGTGGGAAAGAAACTGTTACACAATTTAATGCCTCTTTCTTACCAAACTGAAAGAGAAATATGTGTGGCGGACACAAGGTAAATTCTTTTTTTTTTTTTTTTTTTTTTTTTTTTTTGCAAGAAAGAAAATTGAGATTTGGCCTAGGGTAAAGGTGTTTAATTGAGTGCTTAAGTATAATGCATTTCTTAATCTTTTTTTAGAGCCTGCGGTTGTTGCCAAGTCTTCCATCTTATTAGATGTGAAGCCTTGGGATGATGAGACAGACATGACAAAATTAGAGGAGTGTGTCAGAAGCATTCAAGCAGATGGCTTGGTGTGGGGCTCTTGTAAGTTTTAATGATGTATTGAAGTTGGGATTCATGTACATTTTCCATTTTTTTCCCCATCAGTGAGAGTTTCCTAACTTTTTTCCCTTTTTTTTTTTTTTTTTTTTTTTAGCCAAGTTGGTTCCAGTGGGATATGGAATTAAAAAGCTTCAGATCCAGTGTGTAGTTGAAGATGACAAAGTTGGAACAGATATGCTGGAAGAGCAGATTACTGCCTTTGAGGACTACGTGCAGTCCATGGATGTGGCTGCTTTTAACAAAATTTAAACCCATCCTCAGTCAGTGCACTTGAATAAAAGCTTGAAAACAACCCTTGGCTCTACATTCTTTTGTGAGAAATGGTGCATATATATATATATATATATATATATATATATATAGTGTCTTCATTTGGGGAGGGGGAGGATTCAGTGGCTATGTTTAATTCCTACCTAAGTAATGAAAACTTGACTGGAAAGGTAGATCAGGCCACATGGCCATGCTTAATTGACCAGCCTGATAACCCCCAGGACCTATATCACAGTAGGAGAGGACTGACCCCCAGAAGTTGTCTTTAACCCATTTGTGTTTGGTGTATCACCTGACTGACTACACACATTTTTAAAAAACTGATGTGGTGTTATTAAACTTTTTGATTACAGTATAACTTTGTAGCCATTGGTGATAAAATTCTCGCCTGTCAGCAATACAAGGTGCTGTTGGATATGGTCTATGGTGATCAAACATCTTCAAGATTGCTAGATTGCTTTTTTTTGAAAATTGACTTGGCCACTAAGGTTACTCAACCACCATTTACCCCTTAGGTTCAGCACCTAGGAGGGGAGTAGAGTGTTAACTTTGGGAAGTGGTCCTCTGACCTTGACGTGCATAGCCCCCATTCACAGAAGTGTTTCCTTCACTGGCATGTGTGTATGTACCACACATGTGTCTGGTGCCTGAGGAATTCATAAGAGGGTGTTGTCTTCCCTGGAACAGGAGTTCCAGATGGATGTTTACTATGTAGGTGTTGGTTCTCAGGTCTCAAGTATTTCTAACTGCTGAGCAATCTTCCTAGCCCTGCCCCTACCCCAAGTTTTATATACCACTGTACAGAGGAGCTAAGTCATAACAATTAGCCATTTGCAAATGTTACCAGTTTAATGTGTTGAGCTTTAGAGGTTGAACCTTTTATTAGAAGTGTAGTCTGGTGCCAGGGGTTGTACTGGCCTGGAAGTACACCACTGAACACATGAAAGCAGTTTTCATAGTTTTGATGTGTCTTTAAAGCTTGCTGTACTTTGTAGATGGGGATGCAGAAGAGTAAGTAATCCAGGGTTACTTCACTCAAGCAGACAGTACTCTTGCTCTCAATCTAGTGAAGGAAGCTTCATGTAAAGATTTATTTAATCAGATACATTTATTTAATAAAACATGCACTGAGGAAATACTTCAGACAGCCTGAAATGGTGGCAAGATTTTTTTCAGATTTGTTAGGATCATTCTGGCCAGCAGAGGGCAGTGTCTAAACGATGAAAGTGAGCAGAGAGAAATGTTGAAACCATGAAAGCCAGCAGATGGCAGCATTGCCTGGGATTCCATAGTGCTTGAGGATTATAGAGAACACTGACATAAAGGTGTATTTTATTCGGCTTATACTGGTGTCCACGTAAATAAAAGAGCAAAAGACGGAACTATGACAGTGATGCATGCTCTTTGAAGTAGTTCTAAGTTCAGGCCAGCCTCTATCACCTGGGAATGTGTTTCTATTGTTTATAGTAATCTACACACTTGTGGACAGCCAGAATTTTCCATAACCACAATGTTCTAAAGAACTAAAAATGGACACTAAATTGTAGACATGCTTCATCAAGAGGCGAGAGGTCTGTCCCCTTCCTTTGATTTTGAGCCAGCCTAGTCTTTCTTTGACTAATTGGGTATTATGGAAACAAGACTGTGAGTGACTTTCATAACCTTTAATAGACCTGAGGATAAGGCTAGGTGGTAGAGCACTTGCTCCTTGCAGCTTCTAAAACCTCAGTGTAGCCACCCTGGACAGATGTGAAATGAAGGACAGTTGGTTCCAGACTAGACCATTTGCATCATTATCCATCTGAGGCTCCAGACAGACCTGGGAAGCAGAGCTGAATCATACTCTGTCTTGTTTGCATTCCAGAATCTCAGAATTGAACTACGCCAACAAGAAATTGTTGCTTTAAGCAATTAGATTTTGGGGCAACTTATTAAGTAAACAACAGGAATGGAAGTTTTAAACCAATATAACCAACTAATAGTTTAATTCATAAATTATTAAAGTTGAATATGTATATTATGCTGTTAAAATATATGTGTATTCAATTTGTCAGTGCTTGAGGCCAGTCTAGGCTACATAGTGAAATTGTATCCCATACAAAGTTTTTTCTTATAGTAAAAAAAAAGGTGATGATTAGGGAGCTGGAGATGCCCTAGTTGATAACACATTAGAAAAAGCCTGGCATGCACTCAGTCAGTGTTGCGGAGGTGAGATAGGCAGGCTTCTGGGACTTGATGGCTAGCCATCTTAGCCTACTTGGTGAGCTCTGGGCAAGTGAAAGACCCCATCTCAAAAAAATTAGGTGAAAGACTCCTGAGGAACAACAATCAAGGCACACACATGAACATGTATCCACGCACAAAATAACCCAAAAGAAACAAAAATGTGCCCAATACTTTTTCCAAGATGGTTAACATAATGTGGTACTCATTATAAAGATGATTTATTTAATGAGAGATATATTGCAGTACACCAATGGATGGAGGCTAAAACTGGGAGAAAAGTTATAGGTTGTCAGTACCACAATCGCCACCAGAGGGCAGCCAGAAAGATGCATCATTTAAATTTCGAGGAAGACATCCTACATTTTATAAGCACACTAAAATATAAGGCCAATACACTGAACAAAAACAACAAAAATGTGGTCAGTTAGTTTAGATCAGGACGAAGCTTCATCAGAAAGGATTTGTTATGAGGCTCACAGGGCGACTCCACACTGATTTCTGGGAGCACATTACTCATTGGGCTGTTTCTAGGGGAGACAGGCTCTTGGTTTCAGTGCTCCTGATCTGTTCACTGGCTGTACCATGGCAGCTGACTTCCCACAGTGAATGCTTTAGTACCTCAGCAGCAGAGGCCTGGAAGTGATCTTGGAACTTCTTGCTAATTAGAACATAAAGGATGGGGTTCAAACAGCTATTGAGGAATGCCAACCCGGTAGAGAGAGGGATTCCACTCTGCACATGCTGGAAAGAGCTATTGTGGTAAATAGTGAGTTCCCAAATGCTAAACAGGTGATAAGGAGTCCAGCAGACCATGAAGGCAATGACCACACAGAGAATTGTCCAAAAATGCTTACTGGACACTGGAATATTTTGCTTTTTTACCTTGAAGATGAGACACAAGTAGCAGAAGCTCATTGTCATCAAAGGGAAGAGGTAGCCAAAAAGGAACTTCACCCAGGTCAGAACATGATGTCTCATCAAGGTGAGATCAGGGTCATGCTTCTGGAAATTATTATAACAAATAATGTGGTTATTGACCTCCAGAGTGTCCCGGAAGTACAGGTTAGGACCTCCAAGCAGAGAAGCCAAAAGCCAGACAAATATAACAATGGCCAGTGAGTTCTTTAGGGTTCGGTACCGATGGGCCAAGACAGGATGGATCAAACGTAAATAGTGGTCTAGGCTGATCACTGTCAGGAAGAAAACACTAGAGAACATGTTCAGCTGGGCAATGAAAGAATTAGCCTTGCACAGCCACAGGCCAAAGGGCCAGTGGAAACTCAAGGCCACATAGGAGACATACAGGGGCAGGAAGAGAACAAAAATGAAATCTGCAATGGCCAGATTGAGGAACCAGAGAGTAGAGACTGTCTTCTTCCACTTGAATCCCATGAACCAAATGACAATGGCATTTCCTGGAATTCCCAGAACAAATGCTAGGACATACAACAGCAGGGAGATCCAGTGAATAATTCCCAGGTGCATCTCCTCCTCCAAATCAGACTCCGGGGAGTAATATTCCAAGGTATAGGAATAGTTCTCAAATTCATCAAATACTGTTTCCTTTGAGATTTCCATGACGACCTTGTAGGTGGAGAGGAAGGAAATCTGTAGAAGTAAATTTTAAAGGGGAAAAAAAAAGCTTAAAGAAGAATTGTTTGGTGAACAAAGAACATAAACACAAAAGTACTTCAATTTATGACTAAGATGTGGTTTATTTTTCGGAAGGGCTTGTGTTTATAGCATAGATGCCCATGTCCCAGTTTCCCTGATTTTGCTCTCAAAGCTTTTGTGAGTTCATTTGTGATTCAGTAATTGCTAAGTTGAAATGATCCACTCTACAGGTCAAGTCCTCTGTCCTTAATACTTAGAGTGCATTAAGAGAATCTTGACATTCAGCAAGCATTTATTAGGCTCCCAGTATGCATTATTTTACAGCAGATGCAAAGGAAACCAGATTGCTACTTACACAGTGGAAAGTTCCAGCTTTGTAATTGCAGCCCTGACTTCTAAAGCTCTAGCCCGAGAACAACAGCTTTCTGGATCCTTTCATTTCCATGACACTAGCAAGCACTGAAGATTTTAACCAAGTGTTTTAGGCCCAGACTTTTATGTTTCAGGCAGTGCTAGGAATTAAATTAGGGGCCTCAAACATGCCAAGCCAACACTCTACCAGCAAGTTAAGGCCTCAGTCCTAAGACAATGAAAATGCTATTAATCAGTTATATCAATAAATGGCTTTTCAGCTACACGATAACTTTGGCTTTGGGTGTTGTTTGTTTTGGTTTGGTTTGGTTTTTTTGTTTGTTTCCTTTGTTCTGCTTTGTGAGATGGGCTAGCACTCTGTAGGCCTTGTAGATGGCTTTCATCCCACTGTATACTCTGAGCTGCAATGATAGGAAATGGGATATGCTACCACCCAGATAAAAGGTATCTTTTGGAATAAACTTCATTATGACCATATAATTTTCACATCAATTTCTTATATAATGAAATCAAATTTTTATTTAATTGAAATTCCTTTGCTTTGATATAACCCTAGCTTGTTGGAGTCCATCCCCTATGGTGGGAGGCCATGCTCAGCCTTAATCCATGGGAGAGAGGCTTGGTCCTGTTCCAACTTAATGTGTCAGACTTTGTTGAATCCTCATGGGAGCCCTTACCTGTGAGGAGGAATGGACTGGGGTGGACTGGGAGGGGTTGGTGGGGGGGGTGAGTAGGAGGGAAATCCATAGTTGGAATGTAAAATAAAATTTAAAAAAATAAGCCGGGTATTGGTGGCACACACCTTTAGTC